TTTCTTAAATGGGGGGAGGCACTAGGAGGTTCATAGAAATATCTAGCGATAGGTCTTGAAGGTTAACAAACTTAATTGATTTTTGCATTTAAAAATATGTCTAAAATAAAATGAATTTACAAAATGATATTAAATGAACATTTAAAAGGACATACAAGTTGAGTTGAAAGAATTAGAGAAAACCTTGAGCAGAAAACATTATTAGAACATTAATTGGACTTTTAGGGGGCTTGTAATAAACTTGAAAGCTTGCCTACTAGTATTTGACTCTTCAGCCATTCTAAAAACTTTCTTTAATACTCAGTACCATCAAGAACAAACTTGATGAAATGAACTTGAAGTAAATATGAACTAAGATAGGCTACTATCTATAGATGAAGAATACCTCACAATAGACCTACCAGAGTAAAATATAAGCTAAATGCAAACAAATCATGGCCTTTGAAAACACTAGATTTTAACTTTTGTAACTGCAACCTAATTCGTGAATCAATACACACAAGTGAAGAATGTGACCCATAATGAAGCTTAAGTGCAGGTTCATGTGCATGTTTTAACAGCAATAAATTCGTGTGAATGATCACCAAAGCAGGCCCCTAAACATCTCAAATGGTTGTGTATTCATGTGAATGAGACTCCTTCCAAATAAAACCAAAGTGACATACTATCACGGATCATAAGCTGTTAAATTTTTAAAAAGGCATACATGGCACATCTAATTACCTAAAATAATTCTAACTACATGCGCTACTTTAAACATACTAAATGCTTGAATTTAATGTTATAGTATTATGCGGACTCAGCATAAGATGAATTAAAATTCCTTCCACTCTTAGGAGCGTGTAATTATTTTTAAAGATTCGTTACTATTTTTAAAATTTAAGCTTCTCTCTTTCAAATTTAAATTCAAACCATTAAAATATTTATGTATTCCCTCAAGCGAGGTACTTGACATATAGATTTGGGTTAAATGTTACTTTTTCAAGTTTGATCCTCTGTCACGAGTGTTGGACACGATATTTGTATTAAAGAATAATTTTAACCCTTATTCGAGTATACAACAACAACAACAACAACAAAGCCTTAATCCCACTACGTGGGGTCGGCTACATGAATCTTTTTTCTCCATTGCGTTCTATTTAGAGTCATATTTTCATTTAGTTCTAGTAAATTAAGATCATTTTTTATACAATAAGCCCAAGTCTTCCTAGGTCTACCCCTGTCTTTCTTAACACAAGTCGAATTTAAAACATCTACTCTCCTAATAGGATCATCAGATGGTCGATGTTTAATGTTACCAAACCATCTAAGACGACTTTCTCTAATTTTGTTCGTCACAGGAGCTACACCAACCCTATCACGGATATATTCATTTCGCATTTTGTTTCTAAGTGTAAAGCCACTCATCCACCTAGTCATCCTCATCTCAGCAACACTTATTATTATGCTTCTCTTTGAAAGGCCAACGTCCAGCGCCATAGAGCATTGCAGGTCTCACCATCGTCTTATAAAATTTTCCTTTCTGTCTAAGCAATACTTTTCTGTCACACAAAAGGCATGAAGCATTTCTCCACTTTAACCAACCAACTTGAATTCTACTATTAACATCCCCATCTATATCACCATCACTCTCCTAATGACTCAAGATATCTAAATCGTTTACACCTTTTAATAATTTGATCACCCAAAGGCACACTTCTATCACTAGAGCTACTACTACTAAAATTACATTCCATGTATTCAATTTTAGTTCTACTTAAATGAAGGTCATTAGACTCCAATATAGACCTCCATATTTCAAGTTTTTTCTGGGCTTTTTCTCTTGTTTTATCCATGAGGAGGATATCGTCAGCAAAAAACATACACCAAGGTACATCCTCCTGTAGATGTCCAGTAAGACCATCCATAACTAAAGCAAAAAGATATGGGCTTAAAGCCAATCCCTGATGTAATCCAATAGAAATAGGAAAATATTTGGTCAACCCTCCTTCAGTTTGAACACAAGTAACAGCTCTAGTATACGTATCTTTAATGACTTGAATATAAGTCATATCAACACCTTGTTCGAGTATACTAAAACAAAATGATATTATTATGCAATTGGAACCGAACACTTGTAGATTTAGCCAACTAATTTTTTTTATGTTTATATGCAATCTTCAGTGCCCTGTAGATTTCACTTAGAACTATTTTCTTCAGCAAACATTCACCCTAGGTCTATAAGGTCCATTGGATAATGCCACTCATGGGTGATGATAAGGATTCCTTAGTCCAGTTAGGTCAATTACCTCCTTTGACTTATAGATTTGGATCTAAAGCAATTTTGAATGGTGGAAATATGAGATCTGTATGGAGTTCGTTAACATTTCCTCCACCATTTTCTTTACGCTAGTTCTCTTAATCTAAAATCAAAACCATCTTTTGAAAATTTGAGTCGAAACAAACTTTCTTAGAAAAGCCAAGCACACATTTTTAGAATCTATGAAATTCTGACAACTCTATTAGGGAGGATTTTTCTATTAAATTTTTGCTAGTCATATTTTTTTTTAATAGCCAATTAACAAAACAATAATGATAAACTGTGAAAAATCTTTTTTATAGTCAATTTTAAACTACTAAGTCATTTATGTTGGCTAGAAATTTTTAAATAGTATTTCTTTTGAGCTTTCAAACTTCATGCTTTAAATATCATATATTTTCTTACCAATAATGAAGGTTTTTACGTTTCCAAACTTTAGTCAGCCATGTTGAAAATGTACAAGTCCTTTATAATTTAAATCTAAGGCTCAATTGGACTTAAAAGGTTGGATTCAAAACACGTAAATATGAGTAAATCAGATAGCCTTTTTTACTTTAATAATTCATGAAAGTGATCATAGTTAAAGAATCCACACTTCGTTAATCTGTTGATCAACATTTCAAGTTCTAAATCAATCCTCATTTGTCGTGTTCAAGTGACCCAAGCCAAAGAAGATCTCCTCAATTGATCCAGGGATCATGGCAAAAAATTTAAAAATAATTCTTTCCTTGATATTATTTCTTCAATATGGGTCAAATAAATTATCCCAAGCTTCGTTCGAAGCTCGAAACTATTTTGAGGAAATCCAATTGTCAATAAATACATTAAAAGCATCGAACACTAGATTGAAGATCTCTGTCGACATTCTATATACAATCCTTGAAGGCTAAGCTACTGGATGCATCCTCCATTATGTCCACCAAATTTGAAAGCTTATGAAAAAAGGTTTACTCATGTTTCTAATAAGCTAACAAAAATAAGTTAGGTTATATCTTTCATTAAGTCCATGAAGTCATAAAGTTAGGACAAAAGGAAATTCAAATAAAAAATAAGCGAAATTATGATTAAATCTATTTTGCACAAGGCATTGAACTGATGAAAATATTCAACTGGAAAAACAAACTATTCTAGCTGAATCTAAGCAATTGAAAATTTGATGTCTAATTCTGGAGTCACTTGCACAATGTCACATAATATCAATTGATGAACTTCAACAAATCACAAAATCAATGTTAAGGCTTTAGTATTAAAGAAGAAGAAAAGAAGAGTTGAGCTACACCAAGTAAAATAAAGTGAAAGACATCAAGTCTGACAAGCTTATAAATCTCGAAAATGTGTCATCACTTCAATAAAAATTTTATTTTTAGCTTCAGTGATATGTAATTCTTCCATAGCTCGAATTAGCACAGCCTTAACATTCAATAGTTTTATCTCAGTGGCAAATTTGTTAATGTTGTTGTTCTCATTTGATCACTCAGGTCCGTTTGTTGTGCTGCACTTGGAGGTCTTTTACAAGACATCACGTCATTAATCTCCTTCCAAAGGTTCTTTACCTTGAAAGGAAGACTAAATTTAAAACGTAATGTTGGCCAACTTATGTCAATGATTTCTCATGGCTTTGGCGCTCCTTTTAAATTTATCATGCACCAAAACAGCTGCCCATTGGCAAGCCTTGGCATGCTTGCATAGTTCAGATGGTAAAATCTTGTTCCTTACAATGGCCTTCAAACATCTTAAATCAATTCATTTAAACCACAAATTTGCTAGGAAATTAATAGTGTTTGGCCGTAAAGTCAGGTGGAAGAAGAAATTCCCTAGGTTTGGAAAAATGTCCACGTGGCAATATGTTTCTGTTGATGTTAAAGCTACTTTCAAATTGTGTTAGCGTCACGTTTCATTATGTCCCTCCCCAAATTGATGCTGGACATAGTGAAGGCGAATTTGTTTCAGCTGGTTGAACAATGCCTCCAACACTAATTCAATAAAAATTGTATGATTGTAAAAAAAAATTAGAAAATTTTATTTGAATTGAAATTAATTTCGTAAGTTTCTCATCTTTAAGAATTAGCATATACTTCTATATATCGAATGATTGTTTTGAGATGCAGAATGCAATGGAATGATTTATGGTGATTTTCAAAAAGTTGAAATTTTAAGTATAATTTATTTAGAATATTTTAAATTTGTACCTTATCAATGTTAGGTATTACAGTTAGCCAATCTTAGATGTCTACTATTTCACAATTTAATGGCCAGATAAAGTTAATGGTCACTTTTTAGTCGACGCTTTTCTATTCATTCGAGATGAAAGCTTTAAAGCTATCCTTTATTAACATTTTATTTAACTTGAACATAATTTTTTCTATCACCATTTCTCCAACTGAAGCAGTTTCATATGTTTACCAAAACTTTTATCACCTATGCGTCTTTCCTTTCTAAATTTCTATCATTACTGGAACTTCATGAAGGAAAACTCATCAATTCATAATAACCGCTTTAAGAGAAAAAAATTCCAAAAGTTTAGATTGTTAATTCATTTTCCAATCATGCAGGAATAAAATTTTTGTTTATTCTTGAAACTATAGCGAGACATATTCTCATTTTACCCCTAAAGAGTAGGGGAAAGCGGGACATCTTCTCATTTTTCCCCTACAAAGGTGGCTGATTATTTTTGTAACTTTGCCTTGAGCTATTCTTGCAGGAAGCATATGCTAAGTATGTGAAAGAATATTACTTTGGGAAGTTTGGTGCATCACTTCGAACCTACGATCAACAATTCCTAAAGAATATATCACTTGGTGCAAAGGGTGGTAATACATCTTTCTAAGCTTTGGTGTTTGCATGTTTCCTTATCCAATTAAAGGTGCATTAATGCATTTATGCTATGTTATTACCATTACTATTTAATCTACCATGCTTTATCGAATTTAAATATCCAGGTGATCGATTATGGTGGTTCCAAGTTTGCACTGAGGTTGCATATTTCCAAGTTGCCCCAACAAATGATAGTGTCCGGTCACCACGGATTGATGCTAGGTATTCTCAATCTTGATAATAGTCACACTTTTTTCTTTATGGGCAGTTTTATGGTGGAAGTCTTATTAAACAAATCTTTTTACATCAAAAGAGCATCATAGTTGCTTTTCTTATAAAAGTTTACCAGGATTGCCCATTTCATAGGTTCAATTCTCTTAGGAGAGGTGGAGATTGCAAATAATGCTCATTGTTGATTCTAACCTTTAATGCAATGTAACTTTGGTTGGAGAAGTGTTTGAGCAGATTATTTGAGACGAAACTCTGACAGGATGTGCTTATTGCTATCACTCATTTTGTGAGGTTCCATTCATAGCAAGTTATGTATTTAAATGTAGATATTAGGGTTTGATAATTTAGAAATAGTGCCACAAAGAAAGAAAAAAAAATCTGTCACTCTGATGAAAAGAAAAAGGAATTTTGTTCTACTAATGCAATCATTACCAACACAATTTATTCTGTAAATTGTATATACAGCAATTTGCATGTTCCCTACATATCATCTTTCTCGTGTCTGGCTACTATTTTCCATCTAGGTGGCCAGTTATCAGATTGTTCCACTTGCATAATTTTTTTATTTTGGCTAGGAATGGATTCCGATCTTTTGACATCGAAATGTCCTAGAGGAAACATAAACATGTATTCATTGCTCTAATATTTTAATAGAATTGTTATTCTTGATGTGTGAACTAAACTTTGTTATTTGTTTTAATTTTAAAATTTTGTTTCAGGCTTGGAAAGGAGGGCTTTTGGAACGCCATAACTTAGGCCTGGCCTATAGTTGTTTTTGCATGAAAGCAGCTTAAGGTAGTTCCATGTACAAAACTAGAAATACGAAGTAATCAATCAAACACCAGTATAGACCTTAGACTAATTGATGTAGGATGTCTTTGGGTCTAGGATCTCTAATACAAATATAAAATGAAATATTGAGTGATACAACAAGCATTTAAAAATTTCTGGGATAAAAACTACTAATCAAAAAGAAGTAATGACTACGTTCTTAAGAATTGAAAACTCTATGCAAATCAATTCAAACTAAAATTCTAGTGGCTTTTTACTAGAAATTAACAATGAGAATAGAGAATGAAAGTCACACAGGATTAAAATTTACTTGTCAGAAACCCATATTGTGGCAAATTTAATTAAATACAATCTCACTTTGAAACCTGCAATGATAAATGTGAGAGAAGGAAAAAGAAAATAGATAGCGAAGAATTCTCTAGAAAAATAAGCCCCATACTTGTACTTGGAGAAAATATCCCTCAGAATTTGTTTATTTAATTAAGATCAAATTCTGAAATAGATAAAGAAGTTTTCATATTAATAATAAGAGTTTTATTCATGTCACAAAGGGTCTTACTTGGTTCAAAACACCTTGTTTTTTGATGGAGGAAATAAGAAACCTTTGTTAAACTGCTAACGAACCATAAACAATCTAATAATTCCTAACTTATAGGAAACAACTAACAAATTGTCACAACCCGGCTCGATGCATAGAAATAACAAAGGCGGGTACTGCAATCGGACTGTATTAACATCTTACTACCTTTTCACATTTTTAAAACTTTTAATACATATAAAGAGCTACTAATCCACAAGTTTAATAAAATTTAAATTATCCAACAATGACAACATCCACAGACAACATCTCAATCCATAACTGAACAATAAATCAACATCTAAAAGAAACAGTACAAAGAAAGTATCATCGTATTGTCGGCGAGGAAAAGTGGGATGGCGGAGGAGTTGCCCGTAAGAAGCTTTCGGTCACCGGAATCGAAATCCCGTCGCCCTCTTTGGAAGGACGTTTTAATTTACATATAGATTTAAGTTTAAAATCAAATATGAAAATCAAACTGACCCCATATTTTTCATAGTTTAAATGAAAGAGCGCTTTACCTCAAACTTTGTATCTATCCCGAGGGATAAACACAAGACTTGAGGATGAGACTCGATCAAATAAACTAAGATATATATGACGTCCGTTTGGTCTACGAAACTGTTTTATTTGCCGACAAATTCCTCTATTTAATATGAAAAATTAAATAGGGTTTATTTTAAACTGGGTTCGGAAAAGCTTACTATAAGGGCAAACCCCTATAGTTAATTACATCTTAAATGACCGAAATCACTTAAGAATACTCTCGATAAAAATCAGGAAAAATCATCTTCAAGGACTTCAAAAGAATAGGTCTTTTCAACAAAATCGGATAAAGAGGTGTGCAAAAGGGAATGATTTAAACTTGGAACATTTATTACAGGATCCGAAGGAAGAAGAACTAGGGGATGCCACAGATCCAGAGGAGATCCTCGGTGGCTTCCCAGTCTACACTATGGTTTGGCTTCAGTTTCGAGGAGAAATATTCAAGTGTTTTATCCTGCCAATTTTATTTAATTAGGGCTTACATTCTTGTGAAACAATCACACAAATAGCCTGGAAGATGTGAGGATTTTGGTCGTAATGAACAACGACCTCAGAATCCTAAAACGAGTTAGGGTTTAGATAGTACATCAGAACACGAAAAGGTTGAGGAATTATGTTGCGTTAGGCAAACAACCTCAAAATACTATGGATTGTTATTTCAACTTCTAGGAAAGGAATGATTTAGCTGGGGAAGACATGTTCTACTGTTGAAGATGGTCGTGCTGCCCACTGCACTAGTTCCAAGCTTCTTGTCGTGACGAGTTTAAGTTTTCTAGAGTGTCCAGTTATGATGTTAAATCAAACGATCCTATGGTAATAGTCCTTTAAACATCCTATATGGAAAGAAGACATGTTTAAGGCTATACAATATAAAATGTGCAGTACAGGACAAACAGTAGAAAACACAATAAAAGAAACAGTATACACGTCATACACGACAGTAGCTGGTATAGTAGAAGGAACAATATAACATGTTATATAGAACAGTAGCAGGTATAAACAGAAATAGAATAACATGCTATGCAGAACAGTAGCAGGTATAAACAAGAATAATATAACATGTTGTACGAGAAGAACAGTAGCAGGTAGGAACAAGAATATAATAACATGTTGTACAGGGCAGTAGCAGGTATAAACAGGAATAATATAACAATCTGTAAATGTAAAACAAACATGTACGCCCGTGGGATTCACTGTTTCTTAAATATAGCAAGATGAAATGCATTGCAAAAAGCGAAGTCTGGAAGAAACGTCATCCAGGAAATCCGGAGAAGAGTGTAACAACGACTCATGATCGAAAACTTGAGAAAATCAACGAGAAAAGACTCAAGTAAAAATCTTCAAAAATCTCAGAGAAATCTCAAAGAAAGAAAAGAAGCACGAGTGCTTTGTCCAAAGCTTCGATAAAACAAAAAGTTCAGGCAAAGGGGTACCGCAAGCACTCGTGTAGGTATATACTCGAGGGTCCACGAAGGCTACTCGGTCACCCGAATGTATAGAACTCGCCACTCGTCTAGAAGTGTGTCTTGAAACTCACCTAGAGGGCTACTTCCTAGCCTAAACAGGTATTCGTCAGGTGGACAATCAATTTTATTTTAAAATTTATGTTTTTAACATGTACATAGGCCTTAAAAAAAATATTATCAAATTTTTATTTTTTTTATAGCGAAAAATATATTTTTACCTTTTTTTTTAAATAAGTTTTAACAGTTTTTATTGTCCACGAGTCGATTACGCTGTCGGGCGTGGGACTGCCAACTACCTAAGGAGGTTCGAACCAACTCCTGCTAGACTTATGTCGGTGAAGGATATCGTTATCCTATTATTCATCAAATACCTGGATCTTGATGATATAGGATAGAGAATGTTTCCGCTCTATCTTCAATGTGTCTTTATCATCACCACCCTACGCCCCAAAACAAACTATTTGCGACTTTGCTTGATGGTTTCACGTATAGTAAAAGGCTATACGTGGAAACTTATGCATCGGACATAAGAGTCGAAAACCGAACCAAGAAGCAAGGAAAGAAAATAACAAAAATGGGGTGAGAGAGAGGAGACATTGATCCATCTAAAACATCGAAAAGGAGAGTAGATCAGTTCTCAAAAACTCCTATCGAAAAGACGTGGAAAAATAGGGCCCAATGTCTTTCCTAACAAACATAAAGGGCCACTTTGCGCTGCTTTTTCAAACCCCAAAGACGTAGGATTAATCAAGTCAACCAAATGCTTTTCCAAAAAGAGAAATCTCCCAAACTTCACAAAAGGAAAATGACTCGGAGAATACCACCACTAGTACTCCCAAACTCATGCAAGAAATCGGAATCTTCCAACTTTCGAATTAATCAATAGCCTCATATATCAAATAAACATAAAATCTTCCCATATAACCAAATAAATGCTCACGGTCGGGGTCAATACAAAGAGATGAACAACATGTAAGGCTCTCGGCCAAGGCAACAAAAAGGAAAGGGGGAGCTATTAAGGCTCACGACTAAGGGCGGCAAGGGACAGCTGCTAAGGCCCACGACCAAAGGCAACCCAAGGAACAAGTAAAGCTCACGGCTGAAGCAGCCAAAAGGAACCATCGGTGGCTGCTATGTTCCCTTGACGACAACCCCCCAACAAGCCAAGCCAAAGGGTTTTAAACGAGCCAAACTGATCCCCTCGACTAAGGCCAAAAACCGCAACCAGCAAATGGCTGAAACCGAGTCTAGCACAAGTCAAAACCGAGCCAACCAGGGGCCAAAGCCAAGCCAAACTCTCGGGTAGGACCAAGAACAAGTAAATTCACGCCTTGCACCAACTTTAAATCATTGGGGATAAACCCTCACATATATTGGACTTGGAGTAGCCAACAACATACAGATCCCATGCCAAAATAAATTTTACAAGTATGCAAAAAGAAAAAGAAACCAAGGACTGGGTCAGGCAAAACCGAGCCCCGGTAGAGGCTGAAACCGAGCCACTTAAAGCCAAAACAGAGTCCAAGCATAGATTAAAACCCAAGCCTTAACAGAAATTAAAATCCCAGTCATCTTAAGGTAAAACCAAGCCAAGCAAGTTTTTTTTTTTT